TGCATATTTTACTGTTTTATTGATTATGGATTGAATGACCGGGATATTGATGCTGTATGTTGTCTGTTTGGCATAAATTATCGTTTTGCTTGTTTGTATGTGATTGATAATGCTGACTGAGGGAAAAGGAGAATGAAAGATTATGTAAATGGAAATTGTATAATGTGTTCAGGCTGACTAGATATCCTGAGAGATGGTGGACGGACCGGGTCCGTAGGGAACCCTACCGGGATTGTGGTCTCCCATACCGGACGGGGTATGGAGATCTTATGTGTTTTGGCGCCCATACCGGACGGGGTATGGGGATGGCTCGTTTTACCCTCATACCGGACGGGGTAATGATGTCTATGGTTTGGCGCCCATACCGGACGGGGTATGGGGACAGCCCTGGAACGTGATTTCAAGTGTTAAGGGTTAACGGGTAGCGGGACCCCTATGGATCCCCATGGATACTAGTGAGCTGGTAAATGAGGAAAATATGTTGTGTAACGATTGAATTACGAAAAGCTTGATAGGTATTATGTTATACAGTTTATATATATGGTTTCATGATGATGATGATGTTATTGCTTTCGTATATTGTTTTATAAATTTCACTGAGGTAAGTGAATGGTAAATGTTTTATTTTTAATAAAAGGATTTGTTGTAAATTATGCTCCATTGATCTTTTTGTGTTTTCTACCCACCTTTACCTCCGTGACGGTGAGATATCGTGATGTCTTTACTGGGCTAGTGTAGCTCATCCCTTATTTAATCATTTCAGATTAAGAGGACATCGTTCCCGAGCCGGTTCCACAGGAGGACGACGAAGGGGACGGCTAAAGACTCCATAGTCATATTCTTAGCTTTTACTTTCAAGTTTCTCCTTTAGCTAGTTTGAACTTTTATATTTTGTGAGCACGTTTTTGGTTTTACTGTAAGGGATGTTATTCAAATTTTGACTTCGCTTCCGCATTTGATATTTTTAAAATACATTTCATTATAAATTTCGGGGGCTGTTACATTATTATTATTATTATTTTCATTAAATCAAATTAAAATTAAATAAATTAAATTAAAATCATATAAATAATAATTATATTTATATATAAATAATAATAATAATAATAATAAAAGAAAGGTCGGGTGTTACATTTCTTTAAAAAAGAAAGTTATTTTTTATGTTGTTAAAAATTATAAACACTTTTCTTGGTAAGTTATTTAATATAATATACGAAGAGTGTAAACAATTGTTCATTAATTTCGAGAATGGAAACCAAATTTACAAGGAAAAAGGCATCTGCAATTATAAAAATGGAAACACAGAGATCATGACAAATTTAATCGAACTAACATGCTACTATGCCTATCTAAACCTACAACATATCTTTTGTGGGGAATCCAAGTCTCATATAATATATATATATATATATATATATATATATGTATTTGAATACTCATATTGGCAAACTCTGTCTTGTATTTTTTATAAAAGACAATCAATTTAGAGTGATGAACAAAACAATTGAAGCTGTACAGATAAGTAACCCACATAATATTTCATTTCATGTAAAAACACCAACAAAAAAACAGTATTATTATAATTATGTATATATTTTTGTTGTTGTTGTAATGGGTAATAATTATTATGGTGATATAAAATCTATACAGTCAAAATTAGTCAACAATATTGATGCCAAATTTTCCTTTTTTACTGTGGAATTGCAACTGCCATGATTAAATTTATCTGTTGATTTAAAAGTCATCATCTTTGACATTTGACAATTGGTCTCCTAGCCAGCATATCACTTTAATTAATTTGAAGAAAAAAAAAAAGAAGAAAGAAGAAAAATTTTGAAGTGCATGCCAATATATATATATATATATATATATATATATACACCCACATATATGTATATATAAGAATTGATTAAATAGATTAATCATATTAATGGGTGTGTATTATAAAGTTTCTAGCATGCTCGTGTGACACATATATATATGTATGTATGTTAACATATTTATGAATGTTAATTCAATTAAATTTTATCATAAATTTTTGTGCTACAGAAATTGTTTATTTTACCAACATTAAGTTATATATAATACACACACATGTATATATATATATATGTGTGTGTGTGTGTGTATTGATTATAGTGATTTTATGAGTAACCCATGTGGGGAATGAAGGGATTTAGATTGAAAAGAAAAAAAAAAGGGTAATTAAGATAAAAAGGTGTGTAAAGTTTGTTTATAGTAAGCAAGAGGAGATGTCATTTTGCATTGGAATTAATGTTTGATATCGAAATTTGAATAACAATTTTATATCCTTTTAATCTTTGATTCAAATCCTCCAAGATTGACTTTTGTTTTGGGAGTTTGATGGAGGAAAGCTCAAGATTAGTTTATATTATCTAAATATTTGTAATTAATCTATATATTACTTGAACATTGTTATTAGTGTTTTGAAATATCTAAACAACACACGTGTCTCTATATATATATATATACACACACACACACACACACACATACACACACACCTACATATATAGCGAAGTGGATTCTAATGGATCTTCAATACTTTGCTTGGAATGCTACCGGTTCAAGGGTCCAAAATCTTGTGTTTACTCATGCACCATGAAGACACAAGCAGTAAGAGCTATTTTTAGCCAATGAAATTATAATTTATATGAAATTATTTATAAAATATTAGAAATATAGTGAAAAATTTAATTTATATATATATATATATATATTTTTTTTAATGTAAAGTTATATTAGAAAATAGTGAAAAGAGTTTACAATCAAACCTCAAATTAAGTGGGTCTGGATTCATGCTTTTCTGGTTTCAGTTGGATCAATTGAATTGGCCCATGCTTCTGGTTCTTTCAGGCCTTTTCATGTACTGAATAGCTTTTAAAATAAGTCAAATTCAGCAGAAACTAATAAAACCATACAGTTCAATTTCATAGATAATTTTGTTTTTGAACTAGTATTTTGAGATATGAATCTAACAATCAGGCCAACCTTTCAAATAGCCAATCTGGTTTTAATATCTATAGCAAAAAGTTTTTCTGAGTTCCGAATGTTATATATATATATATATATATAGCAGACAAAAATGAATGAAGAACCACAATTTAACTTAGAATTCACCTTGCTAAATCCTAAGTGATGAGCTGAGAGCACACCATATACATGACTAAGTACAAGGATTAGTTTGAGATACATTCAGATTGGTGAGAACAACCGACCACACGCACCATAAAAGTTTCACAGAGTGAATTTGCTGAGGCGATCTCGGAACGCGATCATTAAACATGGGACAGCCAACTTTATAAACCCTTTGAACCAGGAAGCTCGATCCACTGCAGTTGGATTTCCACCTCGCCAGATTCTACGTTTCTCAATCTGAGGCAAAGATCTTGGGTCACCTTCCCATCGTTCCAAATAATAGAGGTTTCTTCCGACAAACAGTTGGCCCTGCAGGGTTGAACCTTGGTTAATATAGTTCCATTCGGGACATCTACCACATGCATCTTTAAGGCTTCTACATAGGCCGAAATGCTGAACTCTGCGTCACCCATTTTGTCATCCTTGCTAAACGTGTCGTGGTCGTAAACAGTCTGGAATAACACAACCCAGGAGCTCGGTCTCAGTAAAACAAACAAAACGAAAAAGCAAATGAACATGAACATGTTACTAGAGGAACAGAATTTAAAGTCCAATCTCAATGAACCAAAAGAAAACATAAGGCAGGATAGGGAGTATTTTGGGGGAAGATCAAGAAATGAGAACAGACATAAGCATGTTAGTTTGCCAGTATATGAATAGGCTCCAATTACTTTTAAGCAGGAGAATCTTGTCCTGCTTAGCTGTGGCTTGCGACAAGCCTATGCATGATTTATTTTAAGCCAGGAAGCCAATGATTTGGCATACAAATTATCCTATAAACAAAGGGTTTCGTTGTCTATGATAAAGATCTCTTGTAGTTTCTATTTTTCTAAATAGATATAAATCAAACATAAGCGTGTGATAAACACAGAAAACATAGCCTGATATTTATGCAAACCATTATGATAAGAGAGAATATATGCTTTCACTTTTTTGAATGACCGCAAATAATCTTCTTCTATCTATTATACTGAGACAGCAATATTGCACTTACAAGCTTTATTGGAATACTGGGATCTGTAATAGAAAGAGTTAGATCTTCATTCCACTCAGGGTTGACATCCTTTTTTATTACACGAGTCTTCAGCTTCTGCAACAACAAATTTTTCCATACATAATAACAAAGGAAATGAAGGCCGAGTAAAATATTCATTGAGGAAAATCAAGGAACTGCTTAAACTGCTAATTCATCAAAGATCATTAAGAAGAAGGGAAGAAAACGAAATTGGAATTCAGATTTTCAAAGATAAAAAAAAGTGAGTATTAAGGGCGCTAGATAATGTCAATTTAAACTATATATACAGGGAGGAACTGTATCTTAAGAAAAATAAAAAAGGCAATCCGGGTAGTTAATTGGATAAGAACTTCAGATTCCTGAAGAACATTATTAAATAACTAGTTGTTGAATTCATAAGTGTGTGTAATCCACACCATTCTAATCTTTTTTCTTTCTGTTAGATAATAAATTTTAATTCCCAAAGGTTTAAGCCGACAAGAAAGGAAGACGATCTGTTATTTACAGTTAATACATTTGATCATTTATAAGCAGAATATTTAAGCTTCACATTTGGAATTATGGACTCAAATTCAAATAAGAAAAAAATGGTCCAAAAACAAGTTTGAAAATGCAAACTAAATAGAGATTGACGAGCTTGTATGACTTGAACCCCAAGACGAACCTCAAGCTCTGAAACTTGGAAAAAGATATATATTATTGCTAATAAGGAAATGGAATCCACCAGCTACAAGACATACAGATATATGTATATAATGTATGTATGTAGCTGATGAACCGAGAAAACACTGAAGAAAATATTCTTTTTAGGCACCAGATGTTTTGGTATAACTTGAAGCAGATTCATAAATGAATTTGATCCTTTTGATTTGGTCATAATAAGAAGTAAGAGTTAATTCAATACAAACATTTGACGACCAAAGAGATAAATTCCTACAATGAGGAATGAAGATAGTCTGTTAGTATTAGAAATTCCCATGCATCAGTCTCATTTTGATTTTACTTTCATTTCACCCATGAGATTCCAACAGCAGGTATACTTTCATTTCATGCAACGCGTAAAAACCATATGTGTATTCCTAATTAGAGGAAGGCAATGATTTCTTTCAATCTGAACAGAAAATTTTGACCTTCGGAAGAAAACCCATCAAAAAGAAAAAAAAAAAAGAAAAAGTAAGAAGTCTTTTTTATTGCCGATGCCAGCCGTGCAACAACAGAAACAAGTCAAAGATCATCATTTCATCGAACAAAAGCAATTGATCGAACAAATACAGCAAGATTATTAAAAAGAAAAACCGACAAAAACCTCGTAAAAACCAACAGACTTTTCTGTTTTTCACTTCAAAAAAAGAATTCGCAAGATCATGATAGAAATTTGTACCTGCTTGCCCATCTTGACGACGACGTAAGGATCGCTGCTACGAACGTCGCGAACGGCGAGGTTAACACCGCGTTTGACACGGATCCTAAGGAGGCCGAGGAGGTTATCCATGAGGGACTTAGTACGACCAGCGGTTGGTGAAGTTGGCGAGTCCGTCATGTTGACCTCCTTCCCCTTCCTCCCCTTTACCAGCCAATAACAAAAGCCTTTCTTCAAATTCTTATCCCTGTGCTTACTCCAAATTACCCCAAAAAAACCCACGTCAACATCCTCCTCGATTTCACTCATTCCAGCAGTAAACGTAATATACATTTGCAACGAAAATTACACAATTGAATTTTACTGTCATTAATCGAAACAAAATTAAGTATACCTGGTTAAAAAGCAAGAGTCCCCTTTCTGTTCTAACGGAGGTTTTTTTTTTCTTGTTTGATTCGTTTTAGGTTTGTTGAAGGGGAGTGGTGGTGGTGGAGAGTCAGACGAGGAAGAAAAGAATTGTACCGGAAGGAGAAAGGAGGGTTTAGACGTTCGTGTGGCGACCGGGTGTTCAGGTTTCTGGTTAGATGAGGGATGATAACTGGACGAGAATCGTTTACGGGGACAAGACGTTGACAAGAATGAATGCGTGGTAACCGTCCGTTCCGTTTGTCTGGACGTGCGGCGTTGTAGACGACTGTTGGTCAACTTGTCGCCCTGTCGTATCCGTGACACGTGGCATCATATTATTTGTCCTAATAGATGACACGTCAGATGACAATCCAATTAATCCTCGTACCAATTATTTTTCCTCGCCGTGAAATATGTTTTTTGTACTGGTGCTTCGTCGTACTTCTGACAGTTTGAATTCAGTTTTATGCCCCGCTTGACAACAGTTTTAGCTGGTGCTTTTCTAAGCTGGAAACTTGTTCTGTTAGCGGAGGATAAAAATTAAAAGTACTTTCTAGAAGATTCAAATTAGATTATGTTGTAGAGAATTTATAATTATTAATTTTTTACCAAATAGACAATAAAAATTTATACATGTAATAATTATAAGAATGTATTATAGATTTCGTTAAAATTGATGAATTTTAAATGAATTGTTGAAACCCATTCTCAAAAAATTCCGAATAATAATTTTGTTATTTATTTGTTTTAAGAAATATTTTTATTTAATTAAGGGTATTACTCAGATATATTTTAAGTTATTTATTCTTACAATTAAGTATGCATTGATGTTAACATTTATTTTGGGTTTTAATTTTTTAAGATAGTTAAGTCAAAAAAAGAATAAAAATTTAAATAAACATAACGTTTATTTAAAATAAAGTTAATTTCATGCGGTTATATTTTGTGGTTACTTTAATATTTTTAAGTGAAATTGAAGATAGATATATAATTTATTTATTTATGTGTTAAATTATATAAAATTTAAATAAATGTTATACATATATATATTGACTAAACTTTAACAATTAAACTAAATGAAAATGAATTTAGTTGGAAACCTAAATAAATTTGACAATGTAATTTATTTATTTTAACAATGTTGTCAATTTTATATTAAAAATATAATTTATTTTTTTAAAAAATATAATAGTACGCCAGTTCTTCTTATTGTCTTTTTGCATGAAGCCCAGCCCACAAACCCGGAAAAATCAAGTTTGGAAGTTACAGAACGAATCAAATTTCTGAAAAGTGAAAAAAATTTCCCCCACACTTAAAACTCCCGCGCTTCGCAAGAAATGCAACCAGAAGCAGGTGCAGAACCATGGGAAGCTCTTGACCTAGACGACTCTGAACTCCCATCTCTCCTCCGACCTTGTAAACGCAAAACTTCACTACCTTCTTCCTCAAATCTCAACAATTCCTACAGTACAAGTACTCCGTTGCTCGAGCCTTACACTCTCAGATCCTCTTCACTTCCCCCCCGTCTGCCTCTTCCTACGCTCATCCCTGGCCCCGCAGGAGCTGTTCAGGCTGCCATGCGAAGGAAAACAAGCCACGAGGCTGATTCTCTCGGTGACCCGA